TCCTCCGGATCTCCTTGATTTCATCAACAACTGTATCAACCTTGAGATGCAGTAGACGCACAGCTTCGTTCGAGTGTGCTATTGATTTTTGTATTTCATATTGCAGCTTCTTCCGTGCTTCAACTTCACTCATTATTTCGTTCTCAAACTTCACCATAGTCTCTTGTGGCTTCTTGTCCACCTGAATGACATGATTCACAAAAATATTTGGGAGTTTCGATCGAGTAAGTGAGCATAAGAAGCAGCAGTAGTAAACTAGTACCATTGCGGTCATGCTTTCATTGTTTGGTTCCTTAAAGTAAGAGGTATCCCTCTGATATGCTTGATCCATCAGAGCATTCACCTTTTCCTGCAACCAGCAAGAATTATAAAATGACATTTGCGACGTTTATATACTTGATTTGTTAAAACGACTAAATTACCCCTAGGGTCTCGTATACTACTTGCCATTGCCACCGCGTTTTTAGAAAGTACAAAAATGCCCCTCCTGGGTGTTGAAAAACGAATATTATAGACGAAGGTAGAGAGTATCGATCCCGCTACCTTCTAGCTTTCGTGCAAAATTGGGTCCAACAATTTAGCCAATTGGGCTGCTAGCCTACCATGCATAAATTTAATCATTCCATTCCATTTTATTATTTAGTATCCTTAATACGAAATTTTTAATACGGATTAGATTAATCATGTTTCTTTTTCTAATACATCAAATTTCTTCCTAATATAATAATCAAGTGAAATTTTATTAACAAAATCTTTAATACAAGAATCATGATCAGTGGAATGTGGTAAAAATTACATTTAAAATTATCAAAGTTTCAACGAACTACGTGGACTTTGATCGTGTGTTACGGGTATATAGGCAACTGATAAGGTTTGAGTCCAACTAATCAACAAACTTTATCTTTAAATTGTACGTCAGTGGGCATATAATTAAATCATAAACTAGTAAAATAAAATTATTTAATGGTCTAGTGGGACCATAAAAATACAAATTTATTACTAAAAATACACCCGACTCGTATATAAACTTATCAGCTTAAATAGTACCAATTTTGGGCGTTGGGAGGGTGTTGATTAACTTCCCCACACGTAACTGTACTCCCGAACCTAGATTTCTATATCACAGACCCAGCCTCGGTTCTGACTCTAAGGTTAGAGTCGACCGAAGAGTGTTCGATTCACTCCAAGTAAGATCGATAACGACTCCGAAAAGCGAACGTGACCCGAACCCCGAAGGGACAGTTGCGACATTACCAACATATGAAAATATGGAACCATAGAAAACTGAGTTCCCATCTCAATAATGGAAAGTTTCAATCATAGTTGTCATGCCGGTGGGATGCCGGTCGATTGAACTTGGTTCAACCAGTGTCGGTTATAAAATCGACGTATACTCGCTGATATGATCAATTTACGAACTCTAACGGGTTGTTTGGAGGTTTGCATTCTCCAAATTGAAGTATTCAATAAATTTGTGTATTGTAATTTAATATATTGGTGAAATGTATGAATTTGAAAAATACATTGTTTGGAGGTTTAGATTATGCTTTGTTATAAATAAAAAAGTAGATGGTAGACAATCCTTTGGTCACAATCTCACCTTTTGGTAGAGATTGACAATCACTCATTTTTAGTGATTGTAGTTGAGCCTAGGAAAAGGTAATGCATGTTTTCAGTCACAAATTTAACCAAAAAAACGACTTAATTTTGACATTACATGCATTGGATAAATACATCGCTTGAAATACCAACCTCCAAACGACCCCTAAGTAAAATGATGTCATTTAGTAAATTTAATTGATAAAAAATAAGTTTATAAAATATTTTATGAATATAAAAGTTAACTGTATATGTACTTTGTTAGATTAAGTACAAACATTTAGAAATTTACGTTAAATGTTGTATTTAAATATGAGTATTTGTTTTTTTTTTGAAATGTCGTATCTTATTAAACTGACATGAACTGACACATACCAATTTGTACCAATTGTCGTACCATTCCACCTAAACCGGTATAACGGTATGAATTGGTTTGACAACTTTGGTTTCAATACATAAAACCTAAAAAAAATGTGAAACGGTTAATAATCAAAGATAATGGGAAGGTGAACTGTATTTGTAAATAAAAACAATAGAGAGGGTGAACACAAGGCAAAGACAAGTGTCATAGGGGAACACATGTAATCAATCATGTAATTAATGAGATGTCTCATAGCCATGCATGGCTGCAAAAGATAGATCAAAACAGACGTTGTCCTCAAATGTCACTACATGTGCTCAAATAGAAAACAGATAAGCAAAAGCTTAGTAGCTCCATTACCCGCAGAAAGATAACCCTAAATGAAGAAGAACAGAGAAAGAAATCTATATAGGAAATCAAGCAATCCATTCTGATTCAGGGGCAAGAAGCAAATGAATTAACAGCAGAAACGTAAACCTAACTGGAAAACAACGAAGAAAGAAACCTAAATAGGAAACCCGTTGGACGATTCGTCAGGGTTGAGGAGATCGGCGGGAAGGATGATCAAGAACTCACCATACGATTCCTCAGGGTTGAGGAGATCGGCAGGAAGGATGATCAAGAACTCACCATCTCCATTATCCTACTGAATTGAATACAAACGAAATAGGAAACTAAAGCATTCGACGGGGAAAATCTTGCAGGAACCAGGAATACCAAAACTCATGGAAGAATTTCTCTAAGGTTTAGAACTAAACTAAGAGAGAATCGACGGGAAGAAACGGTACAGAAGCATAAGTTTCGTTGCTCACCTGGTATGGTTCAAGAGAGCAAGAATTCTGAGGAAGATAGATTCGGGGAGGTCGAGCAGCGAGCAAGAATTCTGAGGCAGATAGATTCGGGGAGGTCCAGCAGTGAGCTTGAGTGGGAGAGCTTGAGCGGGAAATCGGAGCGGACTCCTTTGAGGGAGAAGAGTATTTATGGTTTGTTTCTGACACTTGGATCTACCTGAATGGTCAAATCTAGCAGTTTGCTTGTGAACTTGTGCCTCGCCTCTCATCTCTCTGAAACCGTCCACCTCCTCTATCATCTTTCATAAACCCTTCCCATCACATTCTCTCTTTTCCCCGATCAGCGGCGCGGTCACGAACACCATAAAGAACAGAGGAGGTCGTCGATGGAGATGGAGGAGGCAGGCGGCGACAAGAGAAGGGCGTCGATGGAATTGGAGGAGGCAAGCCGCGGCGATGACTTGTGAGATGAGGGTCGCCGTCAGTTTCACCGGATTGGAAGCCGAACTTCGTCTCAACATCACCGTCAATGACGAGCATCAAAATCTGGGTCCGGATCTGTTCGAGGGTTACCTAGATCGACCGTATTCTCCAGCAAGGGAAGCCAGATCTATGCACTCTGAGACACAATTGGTGACGGACTACAACATGGAAACCAGCGGAAGGGAGAGAAGTTACAACTTCTAATTGCAGCATTTCGAGAGGGTTTGCAATCTTTCTGATTGCACGAGGAATATTTTGAATTGATTAGTAATGATTTTGGGTTTGTAGTGATTGTGGATTAGTGATTTTCATCTGTATTAGCAGTTGAGCAGTCATATTTGTACGGTAGTAGTGTTTTTTCTTTGATGTGTAGTTATTCCAGTAGTGGTTTACTCCTACCTAATCGTATTAGTAGTGATTATGTTATCATTACTTTCTAAAGTTCACCCATCATGAGTAACTTAAAATTTCTAAATCACTACTAATTACAATTAAATCACTACAAGAACAAATAAAATTGCTTATACAACCACCAAAATCACTGCCAATGAATGTAGCAGTAGTTTACGGTACTATTTTCCAGGCCTACTACTAAAAGGAAGATAAAATATTTTAAATTTTAATTTATTAATTAAATTATTTTTTTGATATGCCGAATATGCCCCTCCTTATTCTCCAGCATCATATTTTAATTAAAAATAATAAACAGTGATTATAGTGGTTAGTACGGTGCTAATTCCAACGAAGTTAGCACTCTAACGAGTCCCGAGAGGCGACCATAATATGCCCTATATATATTAGGGTTTGTGGTGAGTAGTCCCAGTTTTGACCAAATTAACCTTTATGAGTAGTCTCGTTAGTACGGTACTAACCCCTTAAAGGGTTAGCATTTAATCACATTCCGGCCAGTTACCATTTGGTCCATCCCTCTATGGCTCTCTCTCGTTTATAAAGTGGAATTAGCTAGAGCAAAAATATCTGAAATCGTGGATATATGTACAAATTCAATATAATTGGGTAGGTTAAAAATCGAACTCGAAGCATTTTCATTGGATACGATAACCCAAAATTGAATATTGCGGGTAATGGGTGGGCATGGTAATTACTTTTTACACTATCCAATCCGAACTAACCGATTATGGACATTCATATGTAATTTGTCTAGAAATGATTATTATTTTTCTTAACATTTTTTATATTTAGCATACAAATATAATGTTTTCATAAAGTCTTGTTGTTTTAATTAATTTTATTCATTCTCGTGATATATTGTTGTACTTTTTCACTTATGTAATGTGAGTATACATGTGAATGTTAACATGTTGGTTGTAGTTATAAAGAGAATTATTGTCAATGAATAACCGTGGATACCCAAAATCCACATGGTATGAGTATGCTTTTGATTTCTACCCGATTCTGATGAGGGTATAGGTATTGGTAAAACTCGAACTACTTTGGGTAGGGTACAGATATGCATTATCCGCCCCCGACCCGACCAATTGTCATCCCTAAGTGGAATGATTATACCAGTGATACAATTGGTTTGTGTCGATTCATACTATTTTAACAAAAATATGTAGAAATGTGAAAACCCATTAACATCAAATAAATTTAATCATATATAAATCATATGTAAAAACAATTTACTTACAGTTCATATTCGTATTTAAATAAAAAGGACATTGCAAATAGAATTACCAATACTGATATTTAAATACAACATTTGACTTTAATACTTGAATCCAACAAATAAAAACTCATAAAATAAATGATAATTTAATTTCTTAATAAATAAATTCAATAAAACGACATCATTTTACGTAGAGGCCATAAATCGATCATGTCAATCATACCGGTTAGGGGTGGCTCTACGGTTCGGTGCGGTTAAATTGGCCCGAATTGATCCGGTCCCGATCCTATCTTTTCGGGAATAGAAGGACCAAAGATTGAATTGAATACAGTCTGGTTTTGATCCGGTCCAGTCTTGACCAGGTTTGATCCCAATTTGGTCTTAATTTTAGATTCAGCTTGTGGGGATTTGAGTGGCCTAAGGCATAGTTAATTCTTTAGACTTGGGTTAAAGTGCCTGATGTTCTTGCATATTGATGTGGCTAGGAGTCTCACGTGCTATTGGGGACAAGCAAAGTTCAAGTGTGGGATATTTTGTATGACACTCAATTTATAGGGTTTATCACTCATTTATTTTAATCATTTTCCCCTTCTATTAATGCATCTTGAGTATATTCTCATATGTTTATACATAAATTCTATTTATTTGATCAATGAGCATTTAATAGACCTAGGTTGTGTTATTTTATTCTGTTATGCATTTTTTGCATGTTTTTATGCTTTTCAAGGTAAATATACAATTTAGAAGGATTTAGATCAAGCATTGGACAAATCTAGATCACTAAAGGAGCAAAAGAGAGAAGAATAAGGAGTTTTCATGTAAAAGACGAGGTCCAATGATAGAGAAGCCTACTGTAAGTCACAAATAGAGAGCCCATGAGGAGCCCAATGGAGAAAGACTCAAACCCAAGACGAAGCAAGAATCGGTGGCAGCCCAGTGTTGGGTCCAACCACTACCCAGCAAACTTGGGTAAATCACGGAAAAATCTTCACGAGAAGTTTCTTATGGGCCAAGGAACTCAAGCCACGAAGAAAACTAGTGGCCGTCCCAGCCGCCACCCATAGGTCCAAGCTCAAATAAAGATCCCAAAGGCCTTGCTTTCGTATTAAGTCTAAGAAACCATGTCCTAGTAGGGTGAAAAATATTTTGGCTGAGTTTTACCTCTATAATCAGGGAGCCAGTCTCATTAGTTCAACATTATGCACAAATCCATTAAAAAAATTCGTAAATACTTTGTTGGTGTGCGAGCTTAGCATTAGTAGGCGAGGGTGGAAATCGAGATGCCTTCATCACGGATGTCAGTACCCTCATTCTCTTATATGTATAGCTAGTTCGAAAATGATTGTGTAGGAATGTGAACTCATTTATCTATAAACCTTAAGATGATGTATTCGTTTTTTTCTCCTATATTTGGACGTATCATAACCGTCGATTATTTATAATCGACTTTAATATATCGGCTTCTTGAACTGTATGTGATTATCTCATGGTATGTTTTAAGTCGATTGGTGCTATTTTAGGGCTCGCTGACCCGGAAATGGTTGAAAAACCATTACTGTCTAGTGCCATGAGTTTGATATGTTACAGGTGGAGAAAGCACGAAAAAGAAGCGAGTGCACAAGAAATTAATTGAGAAAAGCAGTGCTGTCAAAGCCGAACCGAGCCGGTCGGCCAGACCGCCAAAGCCGCCACCCGGCCGTAAAACCAGCTCGGATCAGCTATTTAACCGCCACGGTTTTATACAGCGGCCGGCGAGCGGCCGAAGCGGTTAACCGCTCAAGCCGGTCGCGCGGTTTGGCCGTTTGATTTACCCTTAAAAAAAATAGAAAAGGCCAATCGTGGAATTGGCCGTCAACACCTCTTGTCCCGGCATCGGCGCTTCCCGACGGCATCGCCATCCCCAGTCGCCATCGCCAGTCCTTGTTGTAGCAAGCAGCTCCCCGCTCCCGGCGCTTCCATCCCGTCGCCACCGTCGCAAGCAGCTCCTCGCTAAGCTGCCCTGTCTCACCAGAGGCTTGGATTGAATCCGAGCCATTTCGCGAATTGGAACGAGGAAGAGCATTTACGGGTTAAGAAAGGATGAGGTGATGGATTTTTGACGAATTGCAGAAGGCTGTAGTGGCTGAAAAATGAAAATAGGTGCGGCGGTGGGAGAGGAGGAAGGAGAGAGGGAGGGGGGATGGGGAAGCGGAAGGAAGGAGAGTGATGGGTGGGAAAGCGGCGTTGTCGCTTAGGATTAGGTTAGGGTTTTTTTATAGTTGTTGTATATATATGTTGTGTAGAATTATTAAATGGTACCTGTAATTATCATTTTTACTCATTAAATCATTGAATTATTACTTTATGTGTGTTCTACTATGATATTATATTGTTTATAATGTACTGGTTCTCAAACGGTTTTTAAACGGTCTAATGTTGTCTGAACCACTAGTAACCGAGCCGTTCACATTACCGGGTCATACTCAGGCTCGGCTTTGACAACATTGGAGAAAAGGGCCGGAAGTTAGGAGGGAATTAATTCTTGGGCCGGAATTACTTGGACAAAAATTGGACGGGAGAGCCAGGGACTAATGTTGGACATGTGATCTTCTATTGCTGGAGGAAGGGAATTAATTGGCTTGAGAGGAATCTCTACTAGGCGGACTTTCTTTTGGAAAAAAAACAAAACAAAAGGAAGAAGGGAAATATATTTGGGGGGCCGGGTTTTCTTGATTCGTAAAAAAAAAAACAGAATTTGGAGAGGAAGAAAGGAGCTGCGCGGGGAGAATTAATTGGAGAGGGGGAAAAACAAAAGGCAGCGCGGAACGAGAGGGAAGCAGGAGCGATTGGCGGCGATCGCGACCACTCGAGAGGAGCAGCGGATCGAGAAGGGAATTGAATTGAACAACATCCAATAATTCAGTATTCTTTTCCTTTTGCTTTGATTCGTGACATGATGATTATGAACATGATTGTGTGTTTTAGTGTTATCATGAACTAAACCCCAATTTCTGGGGGAAACACCATAGGATGTAACTATTTCTTGATTTGATGGATTGATTCGTATTTCTTTTCTTCCAATCTCTATTGCATGAAATTACTTAATGCTTTGTGTTGACCGGCCACCAATACAATGATTTGTAGTTAATTAGGTTATTAGCGACAGTGAAACCCTAATAACTGAACATATTTCATGTGACATAGTAACTTATCGAATCGACAGTGGATTAAATAAGGTGCTATGCGGTATTAAATAGGATATCGATCTTCAGGCTAAATAATTATGTCATTGAGCTACGACAGTAGGATTTGATTTAATTGTTTAGTACGTAGTAATTCCCGACAGGGATAGCTAGCACATTCGTGATGTCCTGGCTGTAGAGATGTGGATTAAATTGATTGGAATATGTGAATTATTCTGGATAGGATAGGTAGTGAATCCCGGTGTTTCTCCCAGAGCTTTCCCCATTGAATTAAACCCGACACTTTAATTTGCTTGTTTTGTTTAATTACTTTACTAGTAGTTCATAGTTTCGTCTCATTTAACATTTTCACATATAGTTTGCTCAATAAAATTGATAGAACTTAAGGTTGTACCAGTCCGTGAGAGACGATACCCGGACTTTCCGGTCGTTGCCGGGGACTGCCATAACTTATTTCTGTTGATTTTTGTGAGTGAACTATTTTGATATGGGTGTTAGTGTGCAGAAGAATTTTCAGGTTTATCCTCCTCGTGCATGCCTAGGAGGACGACCGGCGATTTACTGCCACTAGATCTGGAGATCGAGAAGACCTACAGACAGAACAGGAAGCAGGTCAAGTTAGTGAAGCAGCCAACCACAACTCCTAGGCCTTCCCTAACCCATAGCTGTCGACAGAGAGGACAGGCTTCATCACATGTCATCCCTACACCACCGACACCACCACCTCGCATTATGGAGCCTGTCATCATGGCAGAACAGGATCGTTCGATTAGGGCTCGCTTGAATCGAAGGACTGGAGCCCGAGCTTCATGTGTTGTCATTCCGGCTGGGGATGCAAACATGGAGATTACCCCAGCATTCATCAATATGATCACCAATGGGTACACTTTCTCCGAGGCTAGCACTGAGGATCCTCATGAACATCTTCGCCGGTTTGCAAGCATTTGTGATACGATAAAGAGCCCAACTGTGTCTGATTATGCCATCCGTCTTCGGATGATCTCATTTTCTCTGCTAGGGAATGCATCACACTGGTTCCAAAACTTAACACCCCGTTCCATCACAACATGGGGTCAGCTTGAGAAGACCTTTTTGGATAAGTACTTTCCTCCTGCCAAGCCAATGAAGAGGTAAGAGGAAATTGTCACTTTTGAACAAGCTGAAGACGAGAGTCTGGCCGATGCATGGGAGCGTTATAAGGAGCTTTTAATGAGATGCCCAAGCCACGGTCTTGAAGATTGGAACGGGATCTCCATTTTCTTCAACGGAATCAGAAGACAATACCGAGATGCTCTGAATAATGCTTCCCGAATTGGTTTCACAAGAATGGAAGCACCAGAAGCATATGAACTGGTAGAGAAGATATGCTCTGAAGATACCGAATGGGGTAGTGAGACCGGCATTCGAAGGAGAGGAGGCTTGCATTAGATAGACAGAGTTGCAAGTTTAAAAGCCAAGATAGATGCCAAGCTGGATTCTAAGTTCGATGCACTAGAACGAAGGCTGGCCAAGATTGCTCTGGGTAGACAAGAGGAGGTTGCTTTATGTGAACTTTATGAGGGTCTTCATCATAGGGATATGTGTCCACTGGGAGCTGCTCAGTTGGAAGATGTCCAGCATATCAATAATCCGCGAAGTCAGGGCCAGGGTGGTATGTATTCAAATACATACAACCCTCAATGGAGACATCACCCCAACATGTCATGGTCGAATAATAATCCAGCTGGTTCCAAATATCCCACCTCCTGGTTTTCAACAGCAGTAGCCTCAACAAGAGAAGAAGCCCCAACTGGAAGAGTTGATTTTGGCTCATATGCAGAAGACAGAAAATAATTTCAAGGGTCTTGATCAATTTGTCACTCAACAGCTAGCCATCAACAACAATATGCAATCATCTATGCTAGCTATGGAGAGGCAAATAAGCCAGATGGCTCAAACTTTGGCAGATATTCAAGGTAAGATTCCTGGGACTTTACCAGCAAATACTGAGAGGAATCCGAAGGACGCCATGGTTGTAGCAGTCACATTGAGGAGTGGGAAGGAGTTGGAGGATCGAAAGAACAAGAAAAATCCAGTAGAAAAGGAGAGCAAAGCAGCTGCAGAGGAAGAAAGTACAAAAGCGGAAAAATCTGACTTACACAGGCAAACTGCATGCAATCTGCCTGTGCATGATCTTCCATCAACTTGCCTACTTTTCAAGCGATTTACTTTACAAACCCCTATATATTCAAGTAATCTATTTACTTATAATAAGATCTGCTCGTAGTAATTCTATTTCGGCATCAAGCTTCTTTCAATTGAGCATTTACTTACTTTACTTATCAATTGATAGTCTAGTTTAATTTTCTGCCAAGCTTTCATATTCCCTTTTAGCATATAGTTGATAAACACTGGATCATCATACATAAACAAATTAAATCCAAATCCAAATCTAAGCAACCATATCACCCTCGAATTTTTGATTAACAAACCCTTACCAGTTTACTAATCAAAAATCATAATTTGATAAAATCGCAAGCAGTCGCAGTGATTTAGAGTCCATAATTTAGTATAATCATAGCATTAGTGATTTAGTCCATAGTCTAGCAAAATCACTAAAAGTGGTAGTAATTTATAATCGCCAAGATAAGCAACTTAGAGCATGTTAATTGCATCTTCATTACAGTAAAATCATTTTTGGTAATTTGTAGTATATCAAAAGCTACGTACGAAACCATCCATAAAAAACACAAAAATTCCAAGCATTATCCGATTTTCCTTTTTCGTTTAGCAATTTCCAACATAACCAAAAGCTACATCTGAAACCATCCATAAAAATACCAAAATTCCCGATAGTCAAAATCATTCACAACCTTATTTCCTAGTTCTCAAACTTGCAAATCATTTAGATCTATCGCAGTATAATCCACCTTTTAATTTTAAATATTTCAATCCAAAATTAAGAAAGTTATAGGAGACCTCACCTAGAGTCTTCTCTCAAACTTGTAATAAGTCAGGATAGATAGTCAGAATCCTTCAAATTTAAAAACACAAAAATAGACAACTTTGAAAACAAACTTACCCAGACTGCCTCTGAGCCTTCGGCGGTCGATTTTCTGTCACTGTCGGCTTATAATACCTTCGTCGACGACGACTCTTAGTTGCCCCAGAAATATATTCAAAGCCGAAAATTAAAAAAACGCAAAAATCAAAACGAGGTAAGAACCTTGGCCACTCCAAAAATCCAGAAATAGGAACATGCAACTCATGAAACTTGCCTAGGATTCACTCACCATCACCGACGGATTTGTAAAACTCCCTCCGACGTGCTTTCTCCTCGATCATTGCGGTCTATGCTGCCAGAAGTGATTTTCTTTCTGCCAAGTAGAGAATCGAGAGAGGGAGAGGGCGATTGTTCTTCAAAAAAAATCGGTTTCGTCGTTCATTCTCGGTTTAGAGAAGTGGGAACGAGAAGAGAGGAGAGAGAGAAAGCGGTCATCGTTTGGTTTGTGTAGAATGGATGAGGATTTCTTAGAGATTTTTATATACTTGATTTGTTAAAATGACTAAATTACCCCTAGGGTTTTCCGTGTACTACTAGCCATTGCCACCGCGTTTTTAGAAAGTAAAAAAATGCCCCTCCTGGGTGTTGCAAAACGAATATTATAGACGAAGGTAGAGAGTATCGATCCCGCTACCTTCTAGCTTTCGTGCAAAATTGGGTCCAACAATTTAGCCAATTAGGCTGCTAGCCAATCATGCATAAATTTAATCATTTCATTCCATTTTATTATTTAGTATCCTTAATACGAAATTTTTAATGCGGATTAGATTAACCATGTTTCTTTTTCTAATACATCAAATTTCTTCCTAATAAATGAAATCTTTATGTTCACAACTTAAAAATAATCAATTGAAATTTTATTAACAAAATCTTTAATACAAGAATCACGATCAGTGGAATGTGGTAAAAATTACATTTAAAATAGGCAACTGATAAGGTTTGAGTCCAACTAATCAACAAACTTTATCTTTAAATTGTACGTCAGTGGGCGTATAATTAAATCATAAACTAGTAAGATAAAATTATTTAATGGTCTAGTGGAACCATATAAATACAAATTTATTACTAAAAATACACCCGACTCGTATATAAACTTATCAGCTTAAATAGTACCAATTTTGGGCGTTGTGAGGGTGTTGATTAACTTCCCCACACGTAACTGTACTCCCAAACCTAGATTTCTATATCACAGACCCAGCCTCGGTTCTGACTCTAAGGTTAGAGTCGACCCAAGAGTGTTCGATTCACTCCAAGTAAGATCGATAACGACTCCAAAAAGCGAACGTGACCCGAACCCCGAAGGGACAGTTGCGACATTACCAACATATGAAAATATGGAACCATGAGAAAGTTTCAATCATAGTTGTCATGACGGTGGGATGCCGGTCGATTGAACTTGGTTCAACCAGTGTCGGTTATAAAATCGACGTATACATCGCTGATATGATCAATTTACGAACTCTAACGGGTTGTTTGGAGGTTTGGATTTTCCAAATTGAAGTATTTAATAAATTTGTGTATTGTAATTTGATATATTGGTGAAATGTATGAATTTGAAAAATACATTGTTTGGAGGTTTAGATTATGCTTTGTTATAAATAAAAAAGTAGATGGTAGACAATCATTTGGTCACAATCTCACCTTTTGGTAGAGATTGACAATCACTCATTTTGAGTGATTGTAGTTGAGCCTAGAAAAAAGTAATACATGTTTTCAGTCACAAATTTAACCAAAAAAACGACTTAATCTTGACATTACATGCATTGGATAAATACATCGCTTGAAATCCCAACCTCCAAACGACCCCTAAGTAAAATTATGTCATTTAGTAAATTTAATTGATAAACAATAAGTTTATAAAATATTTTATGAATATAAAAGTTAACAGTATATGTACTTTGTTAGATTAAGTACAAACATTTAGATATTTACGTTAAATGTTGTATTTAAATATGAGTATTTGTTTTTTTTTTTTTTGAAATGTCGTATTTTATTAAACTGACATGAACTGACACATACCAATTTGTACCACTTGTCGTACCATTCCACCTAAATCGGTATAACGGTATGAATTGGTTTGACAACTTTGGTTTCAATACATAAAACCTAAAAGAAATGTGAAACGGTTAATAATCAAAGATAATGGGAGGGTGAACTGTATTTGTAAATAAAAATAATAGAGAGGGTGAACACAAGGCAAATACAAGTGTCATAGGGGAACACATGAAATCAATCATGTAATTAATGAGATGTCTCATAGCCATGCATGGCTGCAAAAGATAGACGCACAGCTTCATTCGCGTCTGCTATTCGAGTCTGGATCTCCTTGATTTCATCAACAACTGTGTCAACCTTGAGATGCAGTAGACGCACAGCTTCATTCGAGTCTGCTATTGATTTTTGTATTTCAAATTGCAGCTTCTTCCGTGCTTCAACTTCACTCGTTATTTCCTTCTCAAACTTCACCATAATCTCTTGTAGCTTCTTGTCCACCTGAAGGACACGATTCACAAAAATATTTGGGAGTTTTGATCGAGTAAGTGAGCATAAGAAGCAGCAGTAGTAAGAGGTATCCCCTGATATGCTTGATCCATTAGAGCATTCACCTTTTCCTGCAACCAGCAAGAATTATAAAATGATTAGCTTTGTATTGAAAGACGCAACAACCAAACATAGATTAGATTAGCTTTGTATAGAAAGAAAACAGATGTGCAACACGGGAAGGAAATGAGATAAAGAGAGGTTTACTGTTTCAGGGGACAAGTCTCCTATGGTTGGACTTCGATTCTGCAATTCCCAATATAAAAATATGAAGTTCCACACTATAGAGGGTAGCTGCAGATGTTTCATTCAAATTATAAGGAGCATACCTGCAAGTGGAGTTCATCAAACATTATGCTGAACGTGTAAGGTTGCACCTCTAGTCTGCTAACCATATCAAGAAGCTGCTGCACTTGGACACATTGCTTAACCTTATCGGCAGTCTTATTGTCGAAGAGCACCTTTCGACCACCACAGCGTGTGAGAATTTTCTGTAGTTCAGTAGAATCCCGTCCGAGATAGTCATCCAAACTTCGACCCTCTTTTTCCAACAGATCTCCTCCCGCGAACACCACAATTACATACTCCATTATCTTCGGTCCAAACAACCTCTCTAGCATATCAACTATGCCTGCCTCCTCCAGTCTCTTTCCCACGGACACCACGTTTGACCTGAAAGCAGGCCGTGCCAATCTCTTTTAGTGCATCTTCCACTCCAGAACAACACCAGGGGTGTCAATTATCTGGCATCAAAGGGTAGACAGATATGCTTCCTTGATTTCGCAACATGTGGTGACCGACCCGCACTGATTCTTGTAGGCGAAACACTCTTGACCGAGAATACTGTTACCGAGAGAGCTCTTGCCGCTCACAGATTCCCCAACGAGCAGGAGTGTCCGATCCACAATTGGATCAACCCAATCATCGGTGTCCTCCATTCTATCCAGGGGCAGGAAGCAAGTGAATTAACCGCAAAAAGATAACCCTAAATGAAGAAGAACAGAGAAAGAAATCTATATAGGAAATCAAGCAATCCATTCTGATTCAGGGGCAAGAAGAAAATGAATTAACAGCAGAAACGTAAACCTAACTGGAAAACAACGAAGAAAGAAACCTAAATAGGAAACCCGTTGGACGATTCGTCAGGGTTGAGGAGATCGGCGGGAAGGATGATCAAGAACTCACCATACGATTCCTCAGGGTTGAGGAGATCGGCAGGAAGGATGATCAAGAACTCACCATCTCTATTATCCTACTGAATTGAATACAAACGAAATAGGAAACTAAAGCATTCGACGGGGAAAATCTTGCAGGAACCAGGAATACCAAAACTCATGGAAGAATTTCTCTAAGGTTTAGAACTAAACTAAGAGAGAATCGAAGGGAAGAAACGGTACAGAAGCATAAGTTCCGTTTCTAACCTGGTATGGTTCAGGAGAGCAAGAATTCTGAGGTAGATAGATTCGGGGAGGTCGAGCAGCGAGCAAGAATTCCGAGGCAGATAGATTCGGGGAGGTCCAGCAGCGAGCTTGAGTGGGAGAGCTTGAGCAGGAAATCGGAGCGGACTCCTTTGAGGGAGAAGAGTATTTATGGTTTGTTTCTGACACTTGGATCTACCTGAATGGTCAAATCTAGCAGTTTGCTTGTGAATTTGGGCCGGTTCCCATTTGGTCCATCCCTCTCTCTCGTTTATAGAGTGGAATTAGCTATGTACAAATGCAATATAATCGGGTAGGTTAAAAATCGAACTCGAAGCATTTTCATTGGATACGATAACCCAAAATTGAATATTGCGGGTAATGGATGGGCATGGTAATTACTTTTTACACTATCCAACCCGAACTAACCGATTATGCACATTCAAATGTAATTTGTCTAGAAATGATTATTACTTTTCTTAACATTTTTTATATTTAGCATACAAATACAATGTTTTCATAAAGTCTTGTTGTTTTAATTAATTTTATTCATTCTCGTGATTTATTGTTGTACTTTTTCACTTATGTAATGTGAGTATACATGTGAATGTTAACATGTTGGTTGTAGTTATAAAGAGAATTATTGTCCATGAATAACCGTGGATACCCAAAATCCACATGGTATGGGTATGCTTTTGATTTCTACCCGATTCTTATGTGGGTATAGGTATTGGTAAAACCCGAACTACTTTGGGTAGGGTACAGATATGCATTATCCGCCCCCGACCCGACCCATTGTCATCCCTAAGTGGAATGGTGCTACTGGTGATACAATTGGTTTGTGTCGATTCATACTAGTTTAACAAAAATATGTAGAAATGTGAAAACCCATTAACATCAAATAAATTTAATCATATATAAATCATATGTGAAAACAATTTACTTAGCGTTCATATTCGTATTTAAATAAAAAGGACATTTGCAAATAGAATTACCAATACTTATATTTAAATACAAAATTTGACTTTAATACTAAAATATTTTTACTTGAATCCAACAAATAAAAACTCATAAAATAAATGATAATTTAATTTCTTAATAAATAAATTCACTAAAACGACATCATTTTACGTAGAGGCTATAAATCGATCATGTCAATCATACAGATTAGGGGTGGCTATACGGTTCGGTGCAGTTAAATTGGCCCGAATTGATCTGGTCCTGATCCAATCTTTTCAGGAATAGAAGGACCAAAGATTGAATTGGATACAGTCTGGTTTTGATCAGGTCCAGTCTTGACCCGGTCCGGTCCCAATTTGGTCTTAATTTTAGATTCAGCTTGTGGGGATTTGAGTGGCCTAAGGCATAGTTAATTCTTTAGGCTTGGGTTAAAGTGCCTGATGTTCTTGCATATTGATGTGGCTAAGAGTCTCACGTACTATTGTTGACCTTGTAAGTTCACTTTTGGGGACAAGCAAAGTTCAAGTGTGGGATATTTTTTATGACACTCAATTTATAGGGTTTATCACTCATTTATTTTATTCATTTCCCCTTCTATTAATGCATCTTCAGTATATTCTCATATGTTTATACATAAATTCTATTTATTTGATCAATGAGCATTTAATAGACCTAGGTTGTGTTATTTTATTATTTATTCATTTTTTGCATGTTTTTATGCTTTTCAAGGTAAAAATACAATCTAGAAGGATTTAGATCAAGCATTGGACAGATCTAGATGACTAAAGGAGCAAAAGAGAGAAGAATAAGGAGTTTTCATGCAAAAGACGAGGTCCAATGATGGAGAAGCCTACTGTAAGTCACAAATAGAGAGCCCATGAGGAGCCCAATGGAGGAAGACTCAAACCCAAGACGAAACAAGAATCATTGGCAGCCTAGTGTTGGGTCCAACCACTACCCAGCAAACTTGGGTAAATCACGGAAAAATCTTCACGAGAGGTTTCTTATGGGCCAAGGAACTCAAGCCACGAAGAAAACTAGTGGTCGTCCCAGCCGCCACCCATAGGTCCAAGCTCAAATAAAGATCCCAAATGCCTTGCTTTCGTATTAAGTCCAAGAAACCATGTCCTAGTAGGGTGAAAAAGATTTTGGCTGAGTTTTACCTCTATAAACAGGGAGCCAGTCTCATTAGTTCAACATTATGCACAAATCCATTAAAAAAATTTGTAAATACTTTGTTGGTGTGCGAGCTTAGCATTAGTAGGCGAGGGTGGAAATAGAGATGTCTTCATCACGGATGGTAGTACCCTCATTCTCTTATATGTATAGCTAGTTCGAAATTGATTGTGTAGGAATGTGAACTCATTTATCTATAAACCCTAAGATTTTGGACGAATCATAACCGTCGATTATTGTTTCTAATTAAAAATTAATATTGGGCTATAAGATTTAGAGAAAGAAGAACTAGATTTTGATCATCAAGGGTTAGAGTATAGTATCATGTCCGAAAGATCAGTCAATTCAAGGTCTGGGTAGCGTTTTCATACCCAAGGTATGCGGTACCCCGGCTTTCACCCTGGGTACCGTAAAACTCGCTATATATATATGGTGACTACTTCGGCGCACTCACAAAAATAAGTGCTTTCAATGCACCCAACTCAAAAACTAGTCTTAATGAGTCGGTTTTTGAATTTTAATTTGTAGAATTAGTATAATATGATGATATAACATATGATAACAACTAATTAGCTGATTACCCTAAGCCCTAGACCTCCAATTTTGAGTTCTATCCCTAAACCTCAAACTGTAAACCCTAACCCTATCTTTAAACTCTAAATCCTTCAAATTAAAGCAAATCTTTCATGGTTTTTGTGCAAATTCATGTGCGTTATTGTTCATCACATCATAAGTGATGATTGACATAATTTTGACATAAATCTCATGTTTAAAATGATGATTATGAAGCGAGTACACTGAATGCACTCAAAAAAGTGAGTGCACCGAAGACGCCACCATATATATTGAAGCCTATCATGTATGTATGGATGCTTGTGATGATCATTGATTTGTATCTAGTGATACCCCATCTGGTTGTTCAGCAATTACCCTCTATTAATACCCCATTGATGCTACACAAGTACGGAGCGAATGATCAACCATCTATACCTTGAGTAGTATTAAATATTAATGATTGATTGTTAGATCATTGATGCTATAGACCATTGATTGTGGCTCAAGAGGCCCACACTTAATCATGTGATTTCGATCGAGAGGACACTCATGTCTACATTGTTTCCTCCTAAACACGCTTTAAGTACTGCACAGTTCTTAAAACAACTGATCCATTTCATCACACATATGACATGAGTGGTCATTTTATGCAAAGGCTGAGTATCTAACAACTTTTGTTTTCCCCACAAACATTGTTATTTTGCATCATGCGTCCTCTTCTTGCGTCATGATTATTATCACAAACTATTATCATCAAAGAAAGGACTCTGAACTAACTGAAAATATTCTCTGGCAATTGAGTTTCCTCTGTAACTGCGAGTGAGTGAGCGATGATCAGTCAGTCTCACAGGGACTCGACAAAAACTGGGTACTTGTTTTTGGGCATCCGTACGAGTGTGGGCTGAACTGAACCATCTTTCTCTAATGGCGTCCACCTGAAAACGAGTTTTTCACAACAAAATGCAAAAAGCTGTTCATTAGGGATTCTGGGGAATTTCTTCAAGAGATCGATGGCATCATATATTTCGGAGAAAATTCATTTTCTCATTTGGGCCTACTTGTATTTGGTGACCAGGTGATGGATGAAGATGCAGATTTCCAGTTTTGCCAAGTTGATTCCTGGGCACATCCTCGGCCCATTCCCGAAGCCCAGGTAACTGTATGGCCTTAAGGGTGCCTGCCCAAGAAAGAACAAAAACCTTAAATTGGTTGGCTAGCATCCAATAACTTCTAGATGTTTCTGCGGGAAAATGCTATCTCACGTCAAATCTAGTAGGATCGAACTTTTCTGGGTCAGGAAAGACTTGAGGGTCATGATGAATCGAGACCACGTCCAAGTTGACTGACCATCCTTTTTTGATTTGATATCCTACACATAGAGAGAACAATTAAACAAGAACGAGAGATCGATCAATTGAGCAATCAATGGTGACATATCTAAAAATTTGGCATACCATCGATTTCAAAGTCCTGAGCAGCCTTCCTAGAATACCAAGGCAATATCGTCGCTCTTCGAAGGGTCTCGTTGATCACCTGATTTCCCATTATCCGACTTTTAGTTACTAATCAAACAGTATCACATCAACGACATAATGACAAAAATTAATTGAATAAAATGGAATGTTAATGATGTAATTAGTTGGGATGTATTTAATGTTCAAAATTTCCCCCAATTCAATTCCCAATGTGATGCAACAAATCCATCATAACTATATCATCAAATCTATAAAGCAAACAATGGACTCTTCAAATAGCTAATGCAATAAATCCATAATATATTCAAAAGATCGTCATTTTAACAAACAAACGATTACTTTATTTGTGTATGGCATATTGTTAACTTCAGACCAGCTTAGAGTAGCTCCATCGCTTCTCTTCACCAAGATCAACCTATGCTCCTCCTGAAAAATTTCAGAAATTCGAATCTCCAATAACCAAAAGATACTTTAAGGGATTGTCAAGTATATTGAGATATTGATATTTTATAATATCATTCCCCTTTTTACCCTGAGCTTCTCTAGGACTTGAGGATTCTCAGCCAAAAATTTCATCGTCCAAGTCAAAGCTGCTGTGGTAGTGTCATGACCCGCAACCAGAAGAGTCAATATGTTATCTTTAAGTTGTTGATCTGTCAATTTGTTTTCTTGATCGTCTCCTTTCCCATCTCCAGATTTAGTATGTTTCATGATTAATGACTCTAGAAAATCTTGATGAGAGCTTTCTGCACTTCTTCGATTTGCAATTGTCGAGTCCAACATTTCGTACATACTGTCTCTTGCCTGATTTGAGGAGGAAAAGAAAGAATTCATTTGACAAGATTGTAGACAAGAGCAAAGTAACTATGTACTCTAACATGATTACATAATTGAATTACACAACACATTATGTATTTAAACCTCTTAATCTCTCAAAATAGAGAGTAACAAAACTTCGTTTAAATGATCATAAGGTGAAACACAGTCCACCTATTTGAAATCTTCAATTTTAAAAATTTCACAATCATCTCTAACCGGCTATCAAATAAATGCGAATTAAACATAAAAATCAACATCAAAA